AGCAAACAGCCGCAAACGAGCAAACCAGAAGCAGCAAGCCAAAGCAATTGGCAGCAGGCAGGAGGCACCAGCAAACAGCCGCAAACGAGCAAACCAGAAGCAGCATGCCCAAGCAAGTGGCAGCAGGCAGGAGGCACCAGCAAACAGCCGCAAACGAGCAAACCAGAAGCAGCAAGCCAAAGCAAGTGGCAGCAGGCAGGAGGCACCAGCAAACACCCGCAAACGAGCAAACCAGAAGCAGCATGCCCAAGCAAGTAGCAGCAGGCAGCAGGCACTGGCAACACCAGCAGCAGCAGGCAGCAATAGGACAGGGAAGGTAGCGCCGACCAAAGCAGCAGCAGGAGCAGCAAAAGTACAGGCGAAGCACCAGCAAGCGAGCAGCAAGCAGCAGCAGCCGGAAGCAATCGTCAGACCTGCAGCAACAACAACAGCAAACCAGTAGCAACAGCAAAGCAGCCTGCATAAGCAGACAGCAACAACGGATCCGTAGTCTTTCCCGAGCTTGATCCTTGATCTAGGTCAAGCTGAGTAGGGTGAGTAGATCCCCAGTGCGCAGACCGAAGCGGCTCCAATCTTTCTTCTTTAAACAGTGCATGTTACCTCAAGCGCACACAGATTTCGCTCCACAAATTGAGTTGATGTGGTGTGTGCACGAGATATCATTTTTTCATGATATGTGGTTGGGTCAGGTCTCCACAGACATGCTTGTGTCAATAACGTCCCTCTGGACATTCATCTACATGACGATCTTTCTGCTTCCACAGTACCATGTGTCATCAATGCTCTGCATCCTTCATTCATTCATTCATTTCGTTTCGGCTCAGTTCATTTCCTTTCTCTTCATTTCATTTCATTTCATTTGATTCATTTCATTTTGATGCCACAAGCACCGGCCACGTCTCTGCAAAGGTCGTGGCCTACCGCACTTCGTGTGTAGAGTACAACCGTCGGTCTTCGTCTCTTCCGTGGAAGATCTTGCCGCGTGCACGATGACCCATATGTCACTATATTGCCTATCCTGGCGTGTCCTTTGTACACTGATCACTCCGCCCAGCGAGGCCTGGACGCATCGATGAGCGAAGAAATCCAAATCTTCTCCGAGGGCATACGATCACGCGGCGTTGCCGCCGTGGGCCGTCCTTCCGCTGGCACTGAGACTGGAGCACCTTGCGAAAGAGCTGACGTCACTGATCAACGAAGACATGCCCGTCTTGTCACCATTT